TTATCAATAGGCATCAAGTTAAAGGCATTTGTTTGATTAGAGATCAATTTTCAAAACATTTTGCTTTGTGTCAGACATGCAAACGAGTTTTTAAGCCCAAATCATCAAAGCGTTTATCTTTTTAAAACAAAATCGACAATTTAATAGACTGAAAGATTTTTTTTAATATCTTGGAAATACCATTTTGAAGTTTTATAATAAATCTGCTTTATTTCCATTAATCCACGTTATTAAACAAAGAAAGAGGAATTTGTTTCATTCGTGGTAATTTTATTTCTATCAAATAAACCACTTTTCAAATTTTGGAGAATTCTTTCAACAACTGAAACACTGGACTCAAAGTTCAATTTTGGTGACATTTCTTGTCTTTGGATAAATTTAAAAACAAAAATAGGATTTTAAATATACAGTTGAGTTTTGAAAAAAATGTCGAATGAAAATTGTGAAATGTCATGAATGAGATAAGTAATTAAAAACTTAATGATGGTACCAGGTACCCCCCAATCAAAAAAAAACAGTTGTAATCGTTTCTTATTTCGCGAGTGATTAGTGATTTTTTTTTTTATAACATACCTAAAATTACAGAAGTATTAGTGTCCTGAACCTTTCATACACTCCACTCAGCCCGCGCATACATACACATTTATTTAAACAAATTAAAAAAAAAAATCAAAACACGCATGCGCAATCATGTGTGAACACGTCCTTTCCGAAAGATTTACAATACACTATTTTTACGGACATTTTAACAGTATCATGAATCGAATGTGTACTATAAAGGGCTGCCATAAAAAGCCGTACAATTAAGCAAGCTATATTTGGCGCCCCCTCTTTCTTCAATAAATAACTCAAATTTTAAAAAAATTGCAGACTGCACTCAATAGATGGTCAGCTTTCAGATTTGAATAATACAACAAATGAAATTTAAAAAGAAAACCCAAAATAAGAACGACGCCCTTGAAAAAAAAAAAAAAAAAAAAAAATCAGTAAAATAAAAAGGTAAATATCCTTTGACGCGGGGAAAAAAGTAACTTAAATAAAAAATGCAACCTAAAAAAAAAAATATCTACATAACTTACGTTTGTTTCATTAAGTAGGGAAAAAAAATGGTATTCATTACTTTTTAATAATTTTGCCAAAATAAAGGGGGCGCTGACCAAAATGAGATTGCTAAGGAAAGGTGAGGAAAAAAAAATGATGTTTGATCAGATTTTGAGAAGTGGGTCGAACCGAGAACTTTTTCTCTGCACCTGCCTCGTATGAACAGACAATAAAAAAAGGCTTTTTCAGTGTGTTTATTTAAAATTGATGACCTGCAGAAAGCAAAATAACAGCTCAAACAAAAACAAAATGTTTTTAAGTAAAACTAGTGTAAAACAATCTGAAATTTCAACTTAAAGAAAAAAAATACAACACAATTTTCTGATAAAAAGCAGTTTCTAAAAGGAAACATTCAAGTTTCAAGCATAACTTGAAAAACTGAAGTTTCTCAAAGCAAGAAAATTCAGTTAATTTTTTATTGCATAATGAATAAATTGAATAATGAATGAGGAATAAAAAACAACCAACTGAGAAAACTGGTAAGAAAGTTTATAGCCGTCATGTCTGAAAGTGTAATGTAAAAAAAGCTTTAAAAAAAAGGGGGGGAAATAACTAAGACAACACTACAGTGATCAGAGACTCAAGAAAAAAATTAAATGATCGATAAAAAAAAAAAAATTCACGCACACACTTCACTGTCACTCTTATTTTAAAACCTGATAAAAGATCTGAATGCATGAAAAAGTGTTTAACAAAATGCTACTACTAACTAAACAGTAGAAAGAATTACCAAGCAAGGACTTTGTTGCTTGGGGGAGGGGGCTTCGGAAATCATCGCATATTCATGCCAAAGTTAATAAAAAAAAAAAAAAAAAAAAAGTAGTCATCGGTAAAATCAATAAGAAAAAAAAGATCGAATAAACAGATCAATCAAATAAGTTATGTTGGAAACACCACTAGTTCTTTAAGAGGGGAGTGAGAATTAAAACGAATAGTCTGCCAAGCCATAAAAAATTGTACATAACAATCAGGCAACTATTACTTTTTTATGCCGTGCAGCTATTTTTATACCCAGCATGGCTCAAGATATTTCTCCTCGTGTAGTAAAAGTATAACCAATGAAATTAGAAGAAAGAAGTGAATAAACAGGAAAGTAGGCGGTAGTAGCAAGTCGACTTGGCTACTTGCTATCTTCCTCTGCCCAATACGACTATTTGTTGAGCGGGCTTTCGTGCCATAACAACTGAATAAGGCGAGCAGTGGCTGATTAGTATTTATTCCAGCGTACAAACAGTTTGCAAAACTTACAACAGCTACTATAAACGGTAGGAAAAGCAAGGTAAAGAATAAACTTAAACCACTCGGTCACCACGAGTAGGTAAAGTAGCAAGCTATTAAACAAGAGACCTATCGAGAAAGAAAGCAAGGAGACAACTCAGCAAAAATAGCTAGCAAGTTATTAGGCTGATTCGTTCAATCAATACAGAGAACAGACATTTTAATAAACGCAAGGTTTCGGTTAACTCTAGCACGAAAAACATTTATTTTATAAACAATAAAGTTTGAGTAAACTGGTGGACCATTAAAATAAAAATGTGTTTTTCATTGTCAATGAAGGAAACCTTTTCTAGACATAATGAGTATTGCATAGTCAGCGGGAGACAGGAGAAAGAAAAAAAAAGCAAATACCATCAAGAGTGCATGTTGTTGTAGAATGAAAGCGGTATAGTGTACAAACAATACAAAGTGGTATATCATTTAATATTCAAAATCATTACAGACATACTTATTCCTAAATGGATATGCGCTTATCCATGTAAGCAAAAAAATTAGGGACAAAACCTCAAAATATGTTGTCTGTTATAATAAGGTCAGTTGTCGGTGGTATTTGTAGCATAGGAGAACGTAATTATCTGCCCTTGATTTATTTATTTATTTTTTTTTTAAATAAAGTGAAAAGAAAATCAGTATTTCCTGCAGATAAAAACAAAGTAAAAAATTCCAAGAGGTTTTCATACGATTTTTCATATGACCAATCATCCAAGGTTCATTATGTCCATTTGCCCCCAATTTAATAATGGTTATATTGCTATTTGTGTGAAGACAACACACGCTATTGAAGTACAAGAATAAGAAGATGAATGCACTGCAATTGAGTGCTTCGCTAATTTTTTTTAATAGCAACATTTAAGTAAAAAGAAAAAAAATGAACATTATTTTACTTCAACAAATAAGTTTTATTTAATGTCATTTTAATAATAATAATAATACCAAAAAATCTTCTTTCCAGCAGAAACGGTGCTTTTTTTATGCGCCAACTGCAACAGTGTAATAAAATTGCATATAAAAAATGGCCGCTCATAAAAGTTTGTCAAAATCGTTCAAGCATCAAATATAATTAAATAATACAAAAGATTTTCATTTATGATATAGAGTTGATATTTTTGTAAACAACCGTCTTAATACCGGTTTAAGATATTGGCGGCTCTTCATTTCAGGAAATCAGATTTTTACTTTTGAATGGGAATGTACTGGATTTTTTTTTTATCTGTCGGCGTGTGGCGTCTTTGCAGTGTAAACAAAGTTGAATGTTGTTTCACTCCGCTAAACACCGAAACAGTTTATCAAGTAAGAGGAAACAAATGAAATACATAAATCCTAAATTACGACTTAAACTGATCGAAATAAATATTAACCATTATTAAAAGATATGATTTTACTTTTCTAAACCAAAATTATTTGTTTATTGATTTTTTTGTCAGAGAACCTGTTTTATTTTATTGAAACTGGAAAACAGGATATTTTGTGTATGGAAATGAACTAAAAAAATCTTCATTTATACTGGATTTATTTAATTTAAGAGTACATGAAAACTTGACAGTTTTCAAGATGTAAAATTTTAATTTGGTTCAAACATAATCCATTGAACAAAGAACAATTAGCGTGCATATTTAAATTTAACAACTTTTTTGCCTTGTCGGCGTCTACATCTGAATTAGTAATTTAATTTTTTAATTCAATACAAAATTGGCACCCCCCCTCTGTAAATTACTATTTGGCAACCAATAAGTGGCCTAAAAATCCCAAGGTTGGTAAATAACTAGAAAAATTAATTTCTCTGAACAATTTTTTTATTAAACAATGATTTTGAAAGGAAACGTGTTCTATTTTTATTATTCTTCGCATGCAGTTATAGCGATATAAGGATTTGAAACAGAAGTAAAACATTCATGTTAAACTCAAATATGAAGCATCGAAGTTTCAAACGATAACTTCAGCTAAAACGACTGTTTTGGATTTCGTTTAAAAAATGATTTACACACAGGCATGAAACCTACCAGATGCCAAGTTGCCAACATAAACAATGAAGTAAGATTATGTATAAAGTTTAGCTTAAAATTATTTCAATTCAATTTTTTGTGCGGCCACATTACCTACACTTTAAAAAAAATTAAAAGATAAAAAAAAAAAAAAAAGGATCAAATAGTGACTTTTAGTCTCCGCACTAAAAGTGATACTACTATCCTTTTTTTATTATTCGACTATATGAAGAAGACCATGACACTGTCAGCTAGTATTGATAACAACTTAAACTTGATTTATGGAATTATTTTATGAAATTGTTTATGAGATACTATTTATATTACTTATTTAGAAGCTAGTCGTTTTTAATAGTTTCGTAACAGGAACTTCCTTGATGGTATTTTGTGAAGATAACCACTACTGCTGCTGCTTTTAAATAATAATAGAAACTACTATAACATTTTGCACATACATGATGAAAAGCTTTTTCAATTTTTTTACTCAGTGAGTGTCGATCGCGTGCAAAGCCTGATACGCATAGAAAACAATTTGATGAAGTCCAACTTAATTTCAACTCGAACTTGTCCATCGGAAATGTAACGAAATAAAAAAAATCAGACTGTGCTGAATAAAAGAAGAAAAAAATCATCACAAACCTTCAAATCTTGTGCGTCCGCCATTTTAGATCCAAGTGAATTTTTTTCGTTTCTATTACCGGAAGTTGCCTCGTTCTGATCTTGCAAGGGCAAGATGGCGGTCTCTAGAGGTGAGTCTATAATGATGGAATTTGTAGATATTTATGCCAATTCAATTTTCTTTTCATTCGTTTAACTATTGCCCAAATTATTTTAACGAATAAGATTTTCTATGACAATTTTTCACACCCCTGTCTTAAAGCACTTCTGCAAATCTTACTTCACTATTATAAAGCCATGTACTAAAAAGTAACTATCTATTTATTTTTAAAAGCGGCTAACAACTTTGTAAATACAATGTTTATGATATCTAACCACTCTTTATGAAAAAAAAAATATTTTAATTATCTATTAAATTGTGACTTAGCCTTCTGCGCCTACGATTTCTTCAGTACACCCTTAAAAAGATAATGTTTTAAAAAAATACGTGAAAACTTAGAAATTGTTATGTAATCATTTTTTTAAATATAAGTTTGAATTAAATTTCGTTTTTGTGTTTTAATTTTTACTCCTGTATAATAGGGTCACAAGATTATCTGTTTTGTTTTCTTAAATTTAAAACAATTTTTCTTACTTAATGACACTAAGCAAACGATTTGACATTGCTAACACTGTGTTACTGTTGTCCTTTTAGCCACAGGAACACAACACTTTTTAAGTTAATTTACTTGTTTTAAATTGTATTTCAATTAATTTTCTTAGAATTAGTTAGAGAACTAGCTGTCTACTCTAAAATATTTCAATAAATAATTCTATTTGTATGGTCGATCTAAATAGTTATTTGTTGAATTCTGACAAGAATTTCTTTAGTTTTTTCTTTTCTCCTGTTGAATTTTATGTCAATTGTCAAATAACAATAACATTTTTAGTAAAAATGCAGTGAAAAATTGATATTTAGTTAGAGCAGGGTCACCCCCACACAGGGAAATAAGAGCGATAAGTCTTCTGAATGTTTTGTTTGCAAAATTGTCGAAAGAATTTTTACGTATTTTAATTCACTCATCACATTTATTTACTCGTCATAAAATTTTCTTGAAATACTCAAAAATTGATTTGTAAAATTTCTTTCAAATGCTCTTAGTCTTCTTAACTTTGATTTTAAAATTCCTGTCACACCAATTAAACCACTCATGAAATAAACAACAAAAGAAAAGAAATTAAATTCAATATAGGTACCAGCAAAATTGATTCCTTGTTTTTAAAAAATTGCCAGATATCAGGGAATTATTCGTTTTAAATGAAATCTTCTGCACATTTTCATTTATGAATTACGAAGAGGTTATTTTTTTTATTTGTAGAAATGCGGTGAGGGTTCAGTTCCCCTCCATTTCGGTACATCGTGAAAAAACTTTTAATTAGTGAGGTGATTTTTTTTGTTTATAAAGAAAAGTCCCTGAAGATATTGTAGTAAAAAAAAAATAAATGCAATATAATATCGAATCAGAAAATCTTGAAAATTTGTCCTGAATCCTTACAAAGATAATTCAATAAAACTCAAAAATCAAAAAATGTAATTTTTATTGTTAAGTTGAAGCTTCTTAATCTTGCGTAATTTAATGAAACACATTATTTTTTTTCAGATTTGACAGAGAAAAAAATATACCTGTAATTTTTTAGTACCATGTTGAAAGTGGTTGCTGATGACAAGAGATCCTTTTTTAAATTAAATGAAGATATTTGAAGAATTGAAAAATGTAAAATTTGATGTCATTTTTGCAACAGAAATATTTTAAACGAATTTTATTTTATATTTATTATTTTCAAAACTGTTTATTTTTAGTACGGAGGTTCAAACATGAAATAATTCTGCATTACCACTGAAATTCAATATAATTCTTAATCAGTCATTTTTATTTTCCAATCCATTGATAATCGTGTATTTTTTCGTATGTCCGTTTTCCTGCTTATTTAGTAAATATTGACTTGATTTGTAAAAAAAAAAAATTTTTAAATCTGACACTAGCATTTTCAATGATTTTTAAAAAACCGTTTGCATAATGTTGGGGGGGGGTCTATAATTTTTTATGGCAATTAAACATGAAAGGGATCAAAGTGAAAGCGATCGAAACTATCAATTCAACAAATCTATCAATTTTCACTTCTTTTTTTTTTTTTTTTTTTTAATTTCAAAATAATTTAAAAAAAAAACCTCATTGGTTGCAATTTCTAATTTTCCATCTATTTGCATAAACTGTGCCTCTTACTCTGTAACCCTCTACTCACGAGTGGCTCCAGGATCTTGTACAGGAAGAACCTCCTCATTGCAAAAAATAAATAAATAAAATAATTAATTTTAAGACCTCAGACATGTAAGAAAATAATTAAAAAAAAAAAAAAAAAAAAAGCCATGAATTAGAATCAAAAATATAATTTCACTAGATTATAATTAATTACTTTTTTATACTTATAAAAAAAGTAATAGAATATTAATTCTACGAAATTATACTTATAAAAAAAGTAATAGAATATTAATTCTACGAAATTTAATAAGTATAGAATAAAAGATTATATTATTAAACTATTAGTTATATAAGTTTAAAGATAATTTATTTTTAAACATAGGTACCAAATTCTTGATTATTGCATTGTTGGTGTTCCATATTTCTTCATCTTTCTTTAAAATTTTTGCATGCTTTTAAAGAGTCAAGTATAACAATAGAAAACTACTGCTGTTGACCCAACTCATTAGCTACCTTGTATAAAAAAAACATTACTTTCATTGTTTAACCCAATAAACAAGCATTACCTTTATGAAATCCAGTTAATTAATCATTCAATCTGTTAATTTACTTTGAATTATTACATCTCTTGGACAAATATAGAATTTTTAAGAGATTTTAAAATTTGTTGTTTACATTTTTTGTCTATAGTGAATGTGAGAAATCTTTCATTAATTCTGATTAGCTTTAGGCTATTATTCTTTGGATAAAAGCAAAATTTAACTTAAAAAGAAAACTTTCAAATTATTTTAAATGCATTTTTAAGATCTTTTAGCTCAAATTTTGTTATTACATATATAATTATCTATTATTAATTTTATAAATTTGCTTCCACTTCTCTTTAAGGAATATAAAACCTGCTGACTGCATGAGTCTGCTTGGTTAGGATCAGCTTTCCGACATAGAACCCAACTGGAAACAATTTTGCCGAGTCGCAGTTTCACAGCAAAGATTTTAGATGATGTTATATATTTGCATATTTATTTTTTCAAAGAAATATATTTTCATGCTGTTCTGATTAATATATTTGAATGCAGTAAAGTAAAAAAAAAAAAAATATGCTACAAACTCAAAGGTAAATGAATTCATTTTGGGTTTATTTGACAAGAGTAGCATAAAGAATTGTAGCACAATACCCAATTGAGAGCAATTGGTCTTATTGATTTAAAGATATGTTAGTTGGATAGTATTTCACACAGATGCAAATATCTTCAAATGAGTAGAACCAAAATTTCAAATGGCTTTTCTTTTTTTCTTTTTCAAATAATCATGCTTTCCTTACTTGGAATTTGGTACAATACAGTAGTCCATCCTAATTTCCCCTTGTGCCATACTTGTTTTACTGAACTTATTATTATACTAACATCATCAAAATTTAATTTTACTGAAAGATAGAAAGCTTGAACAACCAACTTTTTAAACATTTACTAAATTTGTTGAAATATAAGCTTTTTCTCCTCCTCCATTTACATTTAATATTACAATTTTATAGAGCTAGGCTCAGTAGAAGTACTGGTAACCTACATCTTATATGTAAATGTTAGCCTACCAGTTAACTGAATTTTTATATATAAAACTCTGGGAATTTTTTTTTTTTTTTTTTTTTTTTTAAGCCATTTTGTAGGCAGTAGAGAGTGGAAACGGTTTTATATACAATCAAGTCAAATTTTATGAGAATCTATGAAAATTTAAATTGTTTACTAGGTTGATGTAAAAAGTTTCTAGCCATTTTGGACAAAATCGGTTCTAAATTCCTAGCATTATTATTCAGTTATGAAAGTATTTTCCTTGGTTTTCTATGACCTTCCACCCGCTTTCAGATAAATTGTGAATTTTCCATCCTAAAAGAACAATTCTAGTTTTGATTTGATTTTGTTTGGTTTATTTCTTATGAACTTGTTGAAACTGCTGACCAGACAAGGAATGTTGCATGGAGTAAAATATATGATATTCCAAAGATTACAGGTTTGGAAAATATGCAGTATTGAAAGAACTTGCCATCTCCTGTCTGTAATTATTTGCTTTGGCTTGCAGTAAAATCTCTGCTTGACTTCCTTTCCCAGAAAAAAACAAAAAATGTCTTTTCTAGTTGAATGCATCATTCAAACAAGCCAGTTGCTTACTGTAGCATTGATACAATAACAGTTTATTTAGGTTTTAACAATTCATAATAGAGACTTCACTTTGAATCTCTCCAAAAACAGAACTCTGGTTAGATTGAAATGTTAAAAGACTATTATGATGATTTTCATTTGAGATTCTCATAAATCCATTCTTCATCACTAATGATGATCTATTACAGAACTTTTTTTTTTTTATATATTGAGCAAGAAGAGAAAGAGGAATATTTAAATAATGACCTGTGTTTGTTTCTGTAATTTCCTATCTTAACATTTAAATTTAATGTAATTTCATATCTGGAACCCATTTCTTAGCATTTGAATTTTCCAAAGTCTTCTAAGCAATGCAAATATGTATGTGGCATTTTGTCGGTCTCTGGAAACTATAGATCTGCACCCAAAGAGTTATGTCTCAGCTGCTGATGGCAGCACAGCATCTGTTATGTACAGGCCCACATGGGAGTGATAGTCTCAATTGCAACAAATGTGCCTGAAGACGCTCTCCCCAGTGTCATCGTATTGTTTTCTTTTCCTCGAGCATGCTTCTGCCTGGCAGCAAGCCTGTTTCTTCTCTTCTTGCTCCAGCCTTCAGTGTAAATCACATTTTCAGCATAAACAATCATTGGCGCCATATTCCCAACTCTGGATGTACATCACCCTCATGTCCCTTTTGCAGACATCCTTGAAGTTGCCCTTTTGCCAGTGGCCAGCTCCCCATACAGAAGGACCTTC